GAAGGCCAATCCAGAGCTTTATGGTCTTCGGAGAAGTGTATGCCTTTCCACCCAAGCTGTGTCCTCTCTATTCTCTTTGATGTCGAATGCTGACCTCCTTATCCTAGACTCGACCACGAGAGCAACGCAAAATAGTATGTCACATGTCCAGCTGCAATGTCTTGTCGCATTATGTACTAACTATATCAGATCGAATCGGAATCAGAATCAGATGTTGCGCCAGCCAGTCGTCGCCAGAATAAACGCCGGCGCGTTGGAAGTTCCCACGCATGTGAGTCTTGACGCTTTCCCATGCCCTCTCGCTCCCATCAACCTTGAAGCTAGCTGAACCGATTGTAGCCTCAAAAAGGGGAACGCCCGTATTGCAACCTTCAACCAACGATTCCGACTCGGATTCTTCTACATATGGTGGAGCTCGCGCAAAGAGCCAACAGAAAAAGGCTAGGCAACAGCGTGAGATGCAGCCCGCCTTGGCCCTTGCCGAGAAGCGGTGGTCAAACCGCCGTGCGGCGCAACAGGTGCAAGAAGGCGCATACGAAGAGAGCGATGTCGACGAAGAAGATGAAGAAGATGCGGAACTTGCTGCGTCTTACTACGTCGATGACTATGTCGACAACTCCCCCTACATCGAAAAAGTTGTCAAGCACAGGCTCAGAGATGGACACGAGCTTACCTACGATTCCACCCGCAGCGACTTTGAATACTTCATCAAGTGGCAAGGAAAATCCCACTTGCATGATACCTGGGAGCTGCTTGATTCTCTACGCAGTGTCCGCGGCTTTCGCAAGGTCGAAAACTACTTTAGAAAGTTTGTCGACCAGGAGCTTGACATTCGGTTTGGAGATGATATTCCCCCGGAGACAAAAGAGCAGTTTTTCCTCGATCGCGATCGAGACGAGGAAGCTCTTGAAGACTACACCAAGGTCGAACGCGTCGTCGCCGTCCGGGATGGCGATGAGGGCGATGAGTACTACGTCAAGTGGAAAGGACTTACCTACGAAGAATGCACGTGGGAGGCGGCATCAGACATCAGCACCCTGTTCCAAGACAAAATCGACCAGTACATAGACCGAACTTCGAGGTCATGGCTGTCCGACCGAAAGGAGACGAGCCTAGACACGCGATCCAAGATGACCAAGCTGGAGAAGCAGCCTGACTTTATTGTCGGCGGCGAGCTTCGAGAATTTCAGTTGAAGGGACTCAACTTTCTGTGCCTCAACTGGACCCGCGGGAACAATGTCATCCTTGCTGACGAAATGGGCCTGGGCAAGACGGTCCAGACAGTGTCGTTCCTCAGCTGGTTGCGCAATGCTAGGCGGCAGGAAGGGCCCTCCCTTGTCGTCGCTCCGCTCAGCGTCATCCCTGCTTGGTGCGACACATTTAACAATTGGTCACCAGATATCAACTACGTGGTGTATCTTGGACCAGAGGATGCTCGAAACATCATCCGCGAGAATGAGCTAATCATCAATGGCAATCCCAAGAAGCCAAAGTTCAACGTCTTGGTCACTTCTTACGAGTTCATTCTGCAGGACTGGCAATTCCTACAGTCTATCAAGTGGCAAGTTTTGGCCGTCGATGAGGCGCACCGCCTCAAGAATGCCGAATCCCAGCTATACCAGCGCCTGGTGGGCTTTGGTATCCCCTGCAAGATCCTCATCACCGGAACTCCTATCCAGAATAACTTGGCCGAGCTGTCTGCCCTTCTCGACTTTTTGAACCCCGGAAAAGTGACCATTGACGAGGACCTGGACTCGCTCTCCGCTGCCGACGCCCAAGAGAAACTGCAAGACCTTCACCGGTCCATTGCTCCGTATATCCTAAGACGCACAAAGGAAACGGTCGAGTCCGACTTGCCACCCAAGACGGAAAAGATTATTCGCGTTGAGCTTTCAGATGTGCAGCTTGACTACTATAAGAACATTCTCACCAGAAATTACGCGGCCCTGTGTGATGCTACAAACGGACACAAGAACTCCCTTCTCAACATCATGATGGAGTTGAAGAAAGTCAGCAACCACCCTTACATGTTTCCCGGAGCAGAGGAGAGGGTTTTGGCTGGCAGCACACGTCGCGAGGATCAAATCAAGGGCTTGATTGCAAGCAGTGGCAAAATGATGTTGATCGACCAGCTGCTGTCCAAGCTGAAGAAGGACGGACACAGGGTTTTGATCTTCAGCCAGATGGTTAGGATGCTGGACATTCTCGGCGATTACCTCTCCCTCAGAGGCTACAAGTTCCAGCGACTTGATGGCACTATTGCAGCGGGCCCGCGACGCATGGCTATCAATCACTTCAACGCCGAGGACAGCGAAGATTTTTGCTTCCTGCTTTCCACTCGTGCGGGTGGTCTCGGCATTAACCTGATGACCGCAGACACTGTCATCATCTTTGATTCTGACTGGAATCCCCAAGCAGATTTGCAGGCCATGGCTCGTGCTCACCGTATCGGACAGAAGCGACCGGTCAACATTTACCGACTTGTGTCGAAAGAAACGGTAGAGGAAGAGGTTTTGGAACGCGCCCGTAACAAGCTTCTTCTGGAATATCTGACCATTCAGGCTGGCGTCACTGATGATGGAAAAGCCAAGTTCAAAGAGGAGCTCAACAAGAAGGGCATCAAGATCGACGGCCCGTCCACTTCAGAGGACATCCAGATGGTCCTGAAAATGCGATCGTCCAAGATGTTTGAGCAGAGCGGCAACCAACAGCGATTGGAGCAGCTCGACATTGATTCTATCCTGGAAAATGCTGAAATTACAAAGACCAAGGTTGACGACAAGATCAACCTGAGCAGTGGCGGTATCGACTGGGATAATTTTATGCAAATTACCGATGTCAAAGTAGATGATATCAACCTCGACTGGGACCAGATTATCCCAGCAGAAAAACTCGCCGAGATCAAGGCGGAAGAAGAGAAGAAGCAACATGACGACTACCTCGCAAAGGTTGCAGCTGAGAGTGCGCCGCGAAGGGCGGCTGTCAAGAGCCGCAACAAGGATGTGGAGCGCGCAGACCGCTTGAAGAAGCGCCAGAGAGAGCAGCAGCAAGAAGAGGAAGAGCAGCGCGCCTACTTGGCGGATCCCAAACGCCCCTTGAACGATAAGGAGCAGCGAAATCTGATCAAGGCCTACTTCCGATTTGGATCCATGGAGGATCGCAGCGCCGATATCATCCAGGAAGCCAAGCTTGGAGAGAGAGACCCCGACTTTGTCAAATCAGTCTTGGACGATTTTATCAAAGCTGCCCAGCAAGCCGTGGACGACAACAGCGCCAAGCTCGCCGAGGAAGAAAAGAAGATGGGCAAGACATTGACAAAGAAGGACAAGAAGGCTGTGCTGATCGATTTCGGCGAGCTGAAAAAGGTCAATGCTGAGACTGCCATCGAACGGCCTAAGCAGCTGCAACTTCTTCGCCAGGTGATTCGCGGCCATTCAGACTGGAAAAATTTCCGGGTGCCGGACGCCACCAAGGCGGCCAACTACAGCTGCCCCTGGGGAGCGAAAGAGGATGCCATGCTCCTTGTCGGCATTGACAAGCACGGGTTTGGCGCGTGGGCTCAGATACGCGACGATTCGGACTTGGAGATGCAGGAGAAGCTCTTCCTGGAAGAGCATCGGGTGGGCAAAAAGGAGGAGAGATCCAAAGGCAATGACAAGCTCAAAGCCCCTGGCGCTGTTCATCTCGTACGCAGGTCAGAGTATCTCCTTTCCGTGCTGCAATCAAAGCACTCGAATGATCGGTCAGTTCACAAGGCGGTGGAGAACCATCATCGCAACAACAAGAAGCTCCACGCAGTCAATGGCAATCGCGGCAGCAGCTCGACGACAACTTCAACAGGCATCAAAAGGCAACGAGAGCGAGAGAGGGACCACGGATCTTCTGAACAGCGATCCCATGCCAGAGAGGATGGTGCACCGGCTAGACCCGATTTCAAGCGCAAGCATCCCTCTCACGACGATGCCCGTAGTCCCAAACATCGGCGCTCTGAGGACCCTCGCCGGTCTAGCAAGGCTGGTGATGAATATCGCGACGGCCGCATAGAGAAACGACGCCATCGCGAAGATGACGACCGCCGCCATGACAGATTCCGGCGTGAGGAGTATCGCCGCGATGATTATCGCCGTGATGACCGCCGAGACGACCGCCGAGATGATTACCGCAGGGATGATCGTCGAGACGACCGTCGTGACCGGGACCGGGATCGAGAACGAGAACGAGAACGAGATCGTGATCGCGATCACCATCGTGACCGCGACCGCGACCGCGACCATAACCGCGACCATAACCGCGACCGAGACCGGGACCATCACCGAGATCACCGAGACCGTGATCATGCAACCCGACATCTGGATGAACGCAGAGTCAAGGCACTCCGAAGGTTGGATGAGCTACGGCGCATTGGCGATGACAAGGACCAAAGGGCCAAGGACAACGACGCCATGATTTGGTTCCTCTTGAAGCCGGTGAGAGATAACTTTGAGAAAATTCTTTCAACCACCAAGGACAGCGTCAAGTCCAGTAAGGAGCGCGCAGCCATTTTTGGAGCCGAGCTGGTGGCCATTGGGTCGTTTCTCGACGAGAAGCTGCCGGCAACGGTAGCAGACGATGGTCTCAAAAACAACTTCTGGTAAGCGATTGCAAACTTTCAACTCTTTTTTTTTCTACTGCTAACTTGGCTCATAGGGAATTTCTGGCGGCTCTTTGGCCCGTCGACGATACCAGCAAGAGCGTTACAGGTGACCGACTAAGCTCAATGTATCGTACGCTCCACGCTCGCAACAAGTCGAAGAGTTCTGAGCCTAGTGCCGCAAAACTCAACGGCACACACGCTGTTCGGTGATTGAAAAAGTGACCACTGGAACAAGCTAAAGGGGGAAGTTGATGTTTAGATTTGCTCTGTGACGAGTTTATAAAAGAAGAGCTTGGCATTTATTTGCATTGTCTGGCGTTTGGTATTAGGTGGCATTATGGTTCAGTCACAAAAGACTCGGCTGCAACAACATACCCGGATTTGCATGGAAAAAGAAACAAGACGACACGCGTTGAGGAGTTTGTTTATACCGGCTGGCCGGCTCGACGAAGACTTTGACGTCTACTCTCTGGCCCGCCTACCGAGTTGATTTTGAGAAGGTTGTATTGTTTGGCTTGACTGTGATGAAGGGAGGAGAGGAGGGATACTCCTTTTTGCTACCTTGTCTCTTTTTCTCTCTTTTTTTTCTCTTTCTATTTTTTTTTTCTTTTTCTGACAAATGTTTTATTTTACTGTTGACGACAAGAGCTTACTCATGCCGTCGGATTGAGGGTACACGTTATACCAAACATTTTCCGGACATTGGAAGGGTTGTGGGAGGCGACGGATTTTTCTTTTACGAATGTAATATGAGCGGTTATACGGCTTTTCCCCCTCCTCACTATGTTTTCCCGTTTCACATGGGGATTCTTGTTTTTCTAAATCATCCCGCCTTGTTCTACGGATAGTAATTAGAGGAGCGAGTTGGCAGATGGGGACACAAGTTTGATAGTCACTAAGCCTGGGCACAAGAAAAAGCCTGAGGCAGAGGAGGAGTCGATAGATGAATAAAATAGTTTAAGTATCTGTGGTTGCTACTGTGGTGATGATTTGTTGTGCGTGTTTTGATATACGAGGTCGATACGTGCAAATGGATGAATGACAAGCAGAGAACACTGATGCATCTCAGCGTGGCACCATGTGAGTGGGCGCAGTAGATGCAGCACATGAAACCACTTGGATGCACTCCGTTGTAGATGAGGCGATACTAATTCTGAATGTTTCGATTTTTTTTCTCTTCTTGTTCTGCTTTAAAACGGTCGTATTCAAGTCAGACTTTTCAATACATACATAACCTTAAATCACTACCTAATCTACCTCTTACATCCCATATCCCCGCCTACTTATCTTGTACATATCCATCTTTCGACAAGCGACAATGTCTCTTCCTCTCCCCTTCACCAAACACTTCGCCGAGCTCACCGTCCTGCGCGCCGCCCTGCTGACCAGAAGAGTCATCTCGGCCGTCACGGAAATCTCCAAGCACGATGCGACACCCGTGACCATGGCCGACTTTGGCGCCCAGGCGCTCATCATGGCGGCTCTGCACGAGCTGTTTCCCGGGGACGGCTACGTGGGCGAGGAGGACGCAGAGACGCTGCGCAAGGATGATGCGCTGGCGAAGACGGTGTTTGAGCTTGTGCGGGAGATTGGGGACGAGTTTGCCAAGCATGAGGCGGTTAATGCTGATGAGGATCTGGGCGTGAGGAGCTTGCCGGGCGTCAAGTCGCAGGCTGAGATGCTGGATTTGTTGGATTTGGCTGGGCGGGGGACGCCGGGGCATAAGGGGAGGTATTGGGTCATGGATCCTGTTGATGGCACGGCTACGTTTCTCAAGGGCCAGCAGTACGCCATCTCGCTGGCGCTGGTGGAGGACGGCAAGGAAGTGCTGAGCGTCGTGTGCTATCCGAACCTCAGCCTCGACGACGGCGTGGTGGCCGAGACGGGCGTGGACACTTCCGGCTGCGGCGTCATGCTGTCGACCATCCGCGGCGAGGGCACCGAGTACCGCAAGCTGTCGACGGAGTACTCCCTCGGGCCATCCAGAAAGCTAGACCGCTTCCCTACGCCGAAGAGTCTCTCTTCCCTGCGCCTCGTGGACTGTCTGGCCAGCAAGTCGTCTCGTCTGGACATTGCCGAGGCTCTAGCGAAACAACTCGGTGCGCTGCCCTTCCCCGGCATCGATCTGTGGTCTTCGCACGTGCGGTACGGAGCGCTGATGCTCGGCGAGGGAGAGGACGGGAAGCACATCATGATTCGCGTGCCCGTTGGTGCTCGCGGCGATCCTTCTCGTGCGTACGTCTGGGATCATGCCGGCTCGCAGCTGCTTTACACGGAGATGGGCGGTAAAGTGACGGATTTGGAGGGCAAGGACATTGATTTCGGGGCGGGCAGGACGTTGGCGGCTAATTGGGGGCTTGTGGCTGCCCCGGAGAGTGTTCACGGGGAGATTTTGAGATTGGTTAGGGAGTTGATTGCCAAGGATTCAAACTAATGGAGCGGTGATTCGGACACACGAAGACTGCTGCTGTTCCAGAAAGAAAAAGTGAGGATAACAGACAGTTGGATCACTATTTCGCCGTCATTTGCAAATGCTGACCATCTCCCTCATGCTCATTAAAACAACTATTATGTCTCTATCCATCGCCATTATATCCTCGAATGTTAGCTTGAGATGTCACTCGCACCACCTTCATGCCATATGTTCTATTTTATATACACAGCCCCCCTCTTCTTCTTTACATCAAGCTACTCCTGCCCCCAATCTCCATGCTTCCCTGCCCGTCCTTCATCTGCCCACTCCGACCCACCACAAACTCGTGATAAATCTTTTGAAGCCTCGCCTTCTCATCCTTGCCGATACTCGCTCTGGTGCTCTCCAGAGCCTTGGTCAGGTGAGACCAACCGACCACCACCTCTCGCTGGTCGGCCGACTCCTTGCCCTCGGCCTCGTCGACGCCGGGTCCTCTGCGGGCTTCCTTGGCCTTTCGTCGGGCTACTTTGATCTGCTCCAGCTTAGACATGATGGCGGCGTTTTCCACCAGCGCGGCAGATCTGCTCTTAGCCGCCACCGGAGCCGCCGTCTCGTCGTCGGCGCCGTAGCGGAACTGCACAAAACTGGTGGCCGACGATGCGCCCTTGCTGTCCTTGCCACGTTTGGTCGTAGATGCCGGGCTGTTGATGTCTCCCAGCACGTCGTGAATGGCCTCGAGCTGGGCGTTTGACACCAGTGCCTGCAGGTCAGCGCCTGAATATCCCTCTGTCTTCTGGGCAATCGATCTCAGTGCTTCTTCCGACTCGGTCAGCTCGCTCGACAGCCGGACCTTTTGCAGCATCGCCTTGATGATGTCCACTCGGTCGTCGAGCGATGGCATATCACACAGCAGCGACTTGTCGAGACGGCCGGGACGCAGCAGCGCCGGATCGATCAGGTCGGGTCGTGAAGTGGCTGCCAGGACATAAACGCCAGACAAACCTTCAGCACCGTCCATCTGCGTCAGCAGCTGGTTGACCACACGATCCGTCACACCAGTCGAATCATGGCCACGCTTCGGCGCAATAGAATCGAATTCATCAAAGAACAAGACGCAAGGCTTGGCCGCCGACGCTCGGTCAAAGAGATCTCGCACACTCTTTTCTGACGCACCGATATACTTGTTGAGAATCTCGGGACCCTTGACACTGATGAAGTTGAGGCCGCATTCTCCCGCGACGGCACTCGCCAGGAGCGTCTTGCCGCAGCCAGGGAAGCCGTACAGCAGCAGGCCTGATCGGAGCCGCAGAGGACACTGGGAGAAGATTGGTGCGTACTTTGTCGGGTACTGCAGCGTCTCGAGGAGGACCTGGCGTGTCTCTTGTAGGCCACCGATGGACTTGAATGTGGTTGTTGAGCTCTGTAGGGATACGTTGCGCAAGGACGCTGGCGTGAACCCCTTGATGGCCTTGTCGAAGTCTGCACGGCTCAGATGCACCGCTCCAATAGTGTCTTCGGGAGTTAAGCTAATAGATCGAATGATTGCCTCGTTTCTGGCTCTGGCGATGAGAACCGTCAAATCACCGGGCAAGTATCCGTCAGTCAAGCCGGCAATGTCGAGAAAGTCCAGGTCTGAATCCAGTATGAAGCCGCCGGGTTTGCTCGACGAGCCGTCTTCGTGGCCATTGGCACCCGAACCATGCCCGTGAAGCCAGTCGCTCGCTTCTTCGGAATTCTCCGTGCCGTTGGCAGTCGTCGGCCGACTGCCGTCGCTCACCTGTCCCGAAGCCTCATCCTGAGCCACGGCATTCTGCCGAACAATGGCCTCCATGATTTTCCGCCGTCCATCCTTGTCAGGGGCCTTTAGCTCGATGATCTCGCGGACGACGTGGCCACTGACGACAACGCTGTTGAGGGTGTCCTTGCCCTCTGCCGTCGCTAGCAATGTGACGCCGCTGTCTTTGGTACAATATTGACGCACGACAGATCGGATCGTTTCACTGACTTGACGGCTTCGTCCGTTGTCGTTTCCGACCTGAAGTTCCGTCTCCACTGGACTCAGCTTGTCCAGGTCGTCAAGAACAACAATCGCTTTGCCGCCCAGCCTTGCGCCCCAGCTGGCCAGCATGAATATGCGGTTGAGAGTTTCCTTGATAGTGGATATCCTCGCCTCGTCGGTCACTAGCTTACGACATGAAAAGTAGATGGTATAGAATAGTGTCTCCTCACGAAGTCGGCTGGCGAGATACCTAGCAATGGATGTCTTGCCGGAGCCCTTTGTTCCAGTGAGCAAGACAGAAGACATGTGAGCAAGGTGTGACTGCAGATTTGCTAGAAGCGAGTCGATGCCGACGAGCAATGAGTCGTGAGACGGCTGCAGTTCAAATAGGTCCGTCTCGGAAATCCAGGAGGGTCGTGGTACTGGTTGTTGAAAGTCGATGGGTATTTTCGGATCCAAGCCGGCCAGCCAGAGAGCTGCGTCCTTGTTCTGCTCTTGTGATGCAACATCTGAGCTATACTCAAACTTGATGATACCTCCTTCCCATCCCTGCGGAGCCTCCAGGCCATCGTACAGATCAACAACGATGCCGTCAGTTATGGGCCCTTGCAAAAGCCCCTCGGATCCCTTGGGCCCAGAGTAGATATGCTTAAATCTCTTGGTGGATTCCTCCTTCTCCGCCTTCGTCTCAATTCCAAATCTCAGGCCCTCGGGTGCCTTTGAGCCTGCTGCAAAGGGGAAGACTTTGATTTGCTGAATAGCTCCGCGAGGGAGAGGCTGAGGAGCGGCTTGGATCTTGACAATACCGCCAACGATACCCGTGCAGCCGAGGGCAGCGCACAAAGCCGCTGACAATGCCGCCGCCTGGCCATTGGGCGGATCGTCCCATGGCTTCAGCTTGGCAACAATCTTTGATGACGCATTGCTCGCAACAGCTGCAGATCCGTCTTCTGGCTGTGGTTTCTGTAATCCAGCAGGCTTGAGAACATCCACCACGACGTAGTTGATGCCCCTGAAATCGTTGGACAGGATATAGTCACGATCAATCCAGACACAGAGGCCGGGCTCTGCAATGCCCTCATCGAACCATTCATTGCAGGCAGCCCTATCGATTGCGCGGAGCAGCAAAGACGGCCTCTTCTCCTCCCTGGCGCTTCGTCTCCGAATGGTGCTGGCCCCGCTTCGTTTAGACTTTGATGTGCTCGCGACGCTTCGGTGGTCACCACTGTTCTGCGAGGCCTTGGCTCTCGTTTTCGGCGCGACAATGACTTCGGCGTTGGGAGAGAGCTTCACAAAAGCCACGTCGGCTGCTGGTGCGGGTTCGAGAGACATGATCTTTATGACTGCTGTCGACGTCGGTGATAGATGCAGAGTCAATGGGTGCGCTGGGACTGCAGCACCGCCGGTAGGGACATATGCCGGGTTGGGAAGCGCTCGTATCTGGGACTGCAGGTTAAGCTCGAGGAATGTTGCGTGCAGTTCTATGATTTCCCAGTCCTCAGGCGTCAGCGGCTCGATGTTGATGGTGTGTGCCAGCGGAGGGTCGACGTGAACGGTGGCCATGACCTTTTCACCATCTGTCAGGCCGAGGGTGTTTGCAAAGGTCGCGTCTATCTCGACTAATTGAATCTCTTGATCTCGCGATGAGCCGCGCGAGCTTGTCAGTCCGTCACGTCCTACCAGCTGAGCAGCTCTCCTCTTGCTCGGCATTCCCGTCCATCCAACGAAGACGGATTGCTCCTTGGGGGCTCCGGTCTGCCCACTGGATGGAGCCGGTCGGTATGTGAGTTCGACAACGACATTCTGGGCGGGCTATGAAAAAATAAGAGGATTAGTTTAGTCGCACAATACCTTCGAGATCAGCAGCATTGAGCAGGTGGAAAGGAGTAGCGCTCTCAGTGACGTACAGTGTTTACGTTGACCAGCAGGGTAACCAACGATGTAGGCAGGTTGACGAGACAGTTCTTTAGATGCACGAGCGATAGCTCGGCAGCGGTAGACTGCGCATTCCTTCTGGGAGCCATGTCTAGGAAATTGAATGCAAGTCTGTCTTGTCTCGTCAGAACAGAATCCGGGCGCAAGTTCGGCTGCAAGATGGCGATGCTATTCCGCGTTCCTGGAACTTATGGAGCCAGCCGGTTGCTATGCCGAGGCAAGGCTCACGTGCCGAGCGGCCGGCGCTACCAAGGGGGTACCTCCCGAGGCTACTGAATCGCATCTGGGGCTGAGGTACATGCATGTATCGTGGCTTGCCTTCTCTGGAGCAAGCTGAAAGCTGCACTTTGGCAGTGAGTGACTCGACTGAGCTCCTCCGCATACCTTAGCCACGTGTGGCTTGTGTGCAGTACGTACCTCTTAATTGGCTTTTGACGCCGTTAGACGCGTCGCGCGTCTGTCTCGTGTCAACCGCCAGCTTTTTCGAGAGCTCTCGAGGCTAGCAGCATTTCCCAACTCCTTACTAACCCACACACGCATCCCTGCAAGTTGGTTTCCCAGCCCACCAATTTGTGCATCGCATCGCATTTGTTGTCTCTTGCTGCGATTTCCGTCCCTCGCCGTCTTTTTCTCTTCCCCCCCCCCCAACGCAACAGCCTGAATCCCCTCGTTTTGGCGTTCGGGCATCATCACGCAAAATGGCGCTCCGCGAGTTCAAGGCGCCTGTCAACTACGAAACTCAGCAGTGTAAGACTTCAATTCTGGTTCATCTGGTGGAGAGCAAACAAACGCTAAGCTAAATCTTTGTGCAGCGGCGTTCGAATCTTTTCTCAAGGACTTCAAGACATCGCCCGAGCATACCCTCACCACTGCCCTCGGTAACATTACAATTGGCGAAGATGATCTCAGCGACGAGGATGATCTCATGGACGAGGACGACCAGACTCGCCAGCGTCGCCAGGAGGAGCGGGCCAAGAGGAAAACACCCCAGCACAAGTACAACGACATGCTGCAATTGCTCGCAGACCGCAAGATTGACGAGTTCGCCATCGATCTGGATGATCTAGCTACTGTGAGTTGGAGTGGG